AAGCAGTGGTATCAACGCAGAGTACTCTCGCTTACGGTTGTTTCAACATGTCCCTCCACTTGGCGTTCACCTCCGTGGTGGTTGCTGCCACAGCGAAGGCTAGGCTGAGAAGGAAAACTCGTCCGCATTCATCTACGGGGCTTTCAAATAACGGGGTTTTCGTGCATTTTAGCCGATTTTCGACCCGCACTGAGTAATACAAGGACGAAAAGGCTTAATTTGCAGAAATCTCGACAACCATATCTTGGTTTGAGAATCCTTTGAAGGCACCTTTCACCCAGATTCTCGTTCTCGAGGTTTTTCTCGTTTCAGGGCCTTCTCATGTCCCTGATTCCGAATATGAAGTCGAGAATCTGCGAAAACCCCGACAAGCCCCGTTCCGGAGAATCCAAGGCCGGCTTTCCGGAACGGTGATTGGATGGGCATGCACAAATGAGCGGGCATGGATGGGAAAGGGCGGGCATGGATGGGGGTCCTCGTGCGTCTTCGTTATTCCGGAGCGATTTTCTCGCTTCCGAAGCGACATTTTGCACTGCGACTTGGGCATTGGCTTGATAGGAGCCCTACTATCATATGCTGCCAAACGCTCAAGATCCTCAACTTAGGGTGGTCGGTGGCTTCAAGGGTCAAAGGTCAAAGCATCTTTATCAAGTTACTAGCTGGCTTACCCGGCTCCGCCGTATCCGGACCAAACTTGGCACACATACACTTCGGGCCCCGGTGGGTGTCACAGTCCACTTTTCGTTATCGATCGATGTCGATTTTACCGATTTTTATCGATTTTTTTGCAGAGTTCACCTACAGGGCTAGGAGTTGGCACAGGGGGGAAGTGAGCATGGGGATTCCGAATACAATATTAGTTTTCAGAATTATCGATTACTTTTACTGATTTTATCGCTTTTTTGTAAATTTTGACATGCGAGGCTGGGATTTTGCACAGGGGGGTAATCGAACATGCTGATTACGAACACAATATTAGTTTTCAGGATCGTCCATTACTTTTATCGATTTTATCGATTTTTTTGTAAAGTTTGACCTGCGGGGCTGGGAGTTTGCACAGGGGGGTAATCGAGCATGCAGATTACGAATACAATATTAGTTTTTGGAATTATCCATTACCTCTATCGATTTTATCGATTTTGCAAAATTTGAGCTAGGGGGATGGAATTTGGCACAGGGGTGTAATCGAGCATGCTGATCACCCCCTTGGGGATGATCAGCATGCTCGATTACCCCCCTGTGCCAACTCCCAGCCCCCTAGCTCAAACTTTGCAAAAAAATCGATAAAATCGATAAAAGTAATCGATAATCCCGAAAACCAATATTGTATTCGGAATCCCCATGCTCGATTACCCCCCTGTGCCAACTCCCAGCCCCGTAGGTGAACTCAGCAAAGAAATCGATAAAAATCGATAAAATCGATATCGATCGATGACGAAAAGTAGCCTATGACACCCGCCGGGGCCCGTAGCGTATGTGTGCCAAGTTTGGTCCGGATCGGTTCAGAAATGGAATTTTCTATTCGGAACATACGTACACACACACAGACAGACAGACAGACATACAGACAGACATACAGACAAACAGACATTCAGCTTTATATATAAGATTAGCTAGATTGTGCGGTTATTCAGGAATTCGAATCCTAGTAACTTCTCAAAGATTGATCGCATAAATGTTTGAATTTAAGACTTGCATAGCTGTTCTTCTGATAAGTATCTGAATGGTCAACTTTTTTGTATCTGAATGAACATGCAATCACTTGGATTCCAGTGATTTCAGAAACATTTCACACGTGAAATTTTTTTCTCAAATTGATTTTTTTGATTTTGTTTGACAAAAATTTAGGATGTTGCTGCTACTAGTCTGGTCTGCGATTCACATTCGCCCACTTTATTTTATTGTTTTTTGATCGATTTCATATTGAAGACTCAAGAAAAGTATGTTTCGTCTATCTTGTAGTTGCTGCTGAACTTTAGTGATTTTGGCTCAAAGCGCAGAGGCGCTGGGAAACCCTGCTGAGGGTAAATAGTGTAACTATATGCCTTCGAGATACTATTTTCCAGAAGTGTCAATTTTTTGTCTAAACCTCATTTATCAATCCGTGCAATCTATGTTCAAAAAGAATTCAGCAAATACAATGTTGTATGCTACTATGTGTGTAAGCTTGATCTCCAAGAAGATCCGAGTTTTTAGTCATAAAAGTTCGAAATTTCAGCTTCAAACTCTGCGTGACGAATCATGAGGTTATTTGAACATCTTGTGAAACTTTGCGCTATCGAACTTTTTGAATTCGGTGCTCGCTCTGCCTCGGTAGCATAAGCATCACATTTACTTTTGTTTCAATGAATTTGAGTCTCTCTCTCTTTCCTCCTCCTCCTACTGTTTGGGATCCTTTGAACACCCTTCACTTTCAATGGTCAATAACAGCCAAGACCTCTTCACTTTGGAAGATACCTGACTCACCACCCGATACCCTATCGCACCATGATTGTAGGCTATGTACGATGAAGACATACGATGCATTGTTTCTGCTTCATTATGCGCAGACTTCAGGACCCTTCAAAAAAGTGAAATGTTTGGAACATCGGATGCGAACTGCAAATCCACAGTGCTGCAACCTTTTGCTTTCTCTTCGCTAGGACGTCGATCAGCACAAGGACTTAGGAGAACAGTGAGCCACTTAGGAAGTTCCTTCGCCCGTCTGACACATCCTTTCCCGTTTGGACACCATTCCGAATTTTCTGCTTTGGAGG